TCTGCAGGGCTGTGAAAACTGAGCTTTTCCGGCAGGCCTTCTGATAACCTCTGGGCCGACCTGGAGCTGAAGCTTTCCAGAGCAGTAGTACGGTTGACAGCATGTGAACCCGCTTTACTCAGAGAACCGCCATCGATAATAATGGTTTTAAATGGTATTATTTATTTATTTTTATTTATTTATTGTTAAATTTACACCCCGCCCTCCCCAGATGGGCTCAGAGCAGCTAACAGAAGGACACATATGCCAAAATTCAACAGGTAAAAACAGAATAAAACAAGCACAAAACAATAATTCCTATAAAATTCGTCCACCCAGCGATTCGAAAGCCTCGTCGAGTAGATAAAATGGGAACCACTCCTTAGAGAGGGTGGGCACACCAACTTCCCCTCTGGGAAAGGTGTTAGCTGTCGGTTGGGGACGTCCTGGTCCAGGATCCAGAAGGCGGAAGATCTACTCGGCTATGAAAAATGATTAATAAATCGAAAGCATTATTATTATTATTATTATTATTATTATTAAGCATTAAATACAAGTGCTCTCGATGTCACAAATAACAGATGGGGTCACACATAACAAAGTGGTCCCAGAGCGACACGATAGACTCCAGGTGATACAGCAATCCCTCCTTCCTCCCAGGTCTGTCTCGTTCCCCGATGACACCCACTCCATTGAGTGGTGGTGGTATGGTGATGGTATAGTGATGGTGGCGGCTCCTACTCAAAAGCCTGGCGGAAGAGCTCCGTCTTACAGGCCCTGAGGAACTGCGCCATGCAGTGTTTTTGTACGGAATGTATATTGTTTTACTGGTTTTACGTGAGCCGCCCTGAGCCTGCTTTGGCGGAGATGGCGGGGTATAAAAATCGAAATAATAAATAAATAAATTTCATTACTCATGGTTTGGGGATATCAGATGTTTTTATTTCAAGTCGTTTGCCCCCTCTAAGCCAGGAGTGGCCAAAGTGCAACTCGGGAGCCACTCGGGAGGTGTTAGCTGAAAAAGAGGTGCAGGAACTCATTAGCATAACTCATTAGCATAATGTATTTGCATATGCCACACCCCCTGGCATCACCGGAAGAGTGTAAGAAGCCAACACCCATCGCTCAGGCTCCACTGGACTCTTTTGGATTCCTAGCTATTGGGGGGGGGGGGACGTGCAGATCTGTCCTCGCAGAGGAGGGAGAGCTTGTACCTGGTCTTAAAGGTGCCACTGGACTGTTTTGGATTGCTAGCTATTGGGGGGGAGATGTGCAGATCTGTCCTCGCAGAGGAGGGAGAGCTTGTACCTGAATAAGAACTTGGCCTTAAAGGTGCCACTGGACTGCTTTGGGCCGGGGGTGGGGGGGCTCTGCAACTTACCTGGCAGCTTCTTGCTCTGACTGAGGGCTGCTGGGAGCAGGGGGCGGGGCTTGTTGCATGTGCCCGCCCCCTGGGCTCCTGCAGGAAATGACCCCTGAGGGGAGGCATACTTTCCCCCCCTCCCTTCCCATCTATTTTCTGTCGTTGTTTCTCTCTCTCTCTCTTCCCACCTCTTTCATTCTTTTTTCCCCACCTCTCACTCTCTTTCCGCCTAGATATCTCCCACTATTACAGCTGATCTCCAGTTGTCCAAGATCAGTTCCCCTGGAGAAAACAGCTGGTTTGGAGGGTAGACTTGATGGCTTTGCGCCCTCCTGAAGTCCCTCCCCTCCTCAGACCCCGCCCTCTCCTTGGCTCCACCCACAAAATCTCCAGGTATTTCCCAACCTGGAGGTGACGACCAATGTTCCCTCTAAGCTATGGAGCCCTGTGAGCAAAAATTCTACTTTGTGAGCTATTGGCATTAAAGCTGTGAGGAGGAGATTTGGCTGCTGCATAAATTAGTCTGCTCTGGAGCCCTCCTTCCTCAGCTAAGACAAAAATGTGTGAGCCAGAGGCTAAAAAACTGTGAGCTGGCTCACACTCACTCAGCTTAAAGGGAACACTGGTGGCGACCCTGGCCTGATCTCCCTTGGAGAGCGACTGCCAGAAATCCCAGCCCAGCCAGCTGGTCGGTTTGTAAATTTGGTGGTTTGGCTCCCCCTGCTGAGGGGGAAATGCACAGTCGTTTCTGGTAGGCGGGTATTCTCCCTTTAAGAGCTAACATTTAATTGTTTGGTCAGTTTTAAAGATTCTGCAGGTAAACTGATGTTAGCTGATCCTGCTCTGATATTCACAATGGTTTGCAGCTGTCCATATGGACAACTTTCCCTATAGCACTTGGGGCTCTTTGGCTTGGAGGAACGACGGCTGAGGGGTGACATGATCGAGGTTTATAAGATTATGCGTGGGATAGAGCAGGTCGAGAAAGAAGTCCTTTTCTCCCTTTCTCACAATACAAGAACTTGTGGGCACTCCGTGAAATTGCTGAGCGGTCGGGTTAGAACGGATAAGAGGAAGTCCTTCTTCACCCAAAGAGTGATGAACACATGGAATTCACTGCCACAGGAGGTGGCGGCGGCTACAAGCATGGACGGCTTCAAGAGGGAACTGGATAAACATCTGGATTCTTGGTGCTGAGGGGGAGGAACAGTGGGAGGGCTTCTGGTGTCCGGGCCCCACTGCTAGACCTCCTGGTGGCCCCTGGTATTTTTGTCCACTGTGTCACAGAGTGTTGGACTGTATGGGCTATTGGCCTGATCCAACATTGGCTTCTCTTATGTTCTTAAGATATATTCAGATATTAACTTTTGTTCATTTATGGCTATTGCTTAAAAGCATGCTGGGAGAATAAAAAAATGCTAACATGCTATTATTCTGCTAAGGTTTGTTGCCTTGGATGCCCGGCTGCAACTGCGCATGTTTCTGGTGTCAATGGAGAACAATAGCACCCTGTAACCATATCAGCTATGTGGATACATGTAGAGCTTCACAGCCTAAGAAGAAGAAGCGTCTATTGTTTTGTTGTTGTTCAGTCGCACCGTCGAGTCCGACTCTTCGCGACCCCATGGACCAGCTCCTGCCAGGCCCTCCTGTCTTCCGCCGTCCTCTGAAGTTTGCTCAATTTCATGTTAGTTGCATCTATGACACTGTCTAACCATCTCCTCCTTTGCCGTCCCCGTCTTCTTTGACCTTCAATCTTTCCCAGCATCAGGGTCTTCTTCTCCAGTGAGTGCTCCCTTCTCATTGGGTGGCCAAAGTATTTGAGCTTCAGTTTCATTCTCTGGCCTTCCAGGGAACAGTCAGGGTGGATTTCTTTTAGGATTGACTGATTTGATCTTCTTGCAGTCCAAGGAACTCTCGAGAGTCTTCTCCAGCACCAGAGTTCAAAAGAATCTATTCTTCGGCGCTCGGCCTTCCTTATAGTCCAACTCTCGCAGCCATACATGACTACTGGGAATACCATTGCTTTGACCATGCGGATTTTTGTTGGCAGGGTGATGGCTCTACTTTTTATCAGGCTGTTTAGGTTCGCCATCGCTTTCCTTCCAAGGAGCAGGCGTCATCTGTGCTCTTCCCTTACTAATTAATAATTTTTTTAGTGTTTCTTCTCTACAGGACTGTTCCGTGTGTTTCTCAGATTGGGTTGGGAAAACACAACCAGGGACACAGTGTCTAACAGTTATCAGACACTGTTAAATAAACAAAATATTGCAAGAGTGCTAATGTTTTAAGCACGATTTTAAGTTAAAAAACTCCCTTTGTGTTTGTGCCCTTTATATTAGAGCACCAAAGTTTATTATGTAGGTACATTGTTTTACTGTCTGTACTGTGTACTGTTTTATATTTAAAACTCGGCTTGGCCGTCTGTTAGCCGCCCTGAGCCGCTGGGTAAGGCGGGATACAAGTCCCAAAATAAATAAATAAATATCTCCGCTACCTGGCAATACATTTTATGACACACGTGGCCCGGCCTAACAAGGTCTCATTGATGTCAGTGTGGGCCACGTGATGCACTGTATTCTTGGTGCCTGGGGGGGCAGCAGTGGGAGGGCTTCTAGTGTCCTGGCCCCACTGGTGGACCTCCTGATGGCCCCTGGTATTTTTGGCCACTGTGTGACAGAGTGTTGGACTGGATGGGCCATTGGCCTGATCCAACATTAGCTTCTCTTACGTTCTTACATCTAAGGCAAGTGATGCTCTGTATTCTTGGTGCGGGGGGGGCAGCAGTGGGAGGGCTTCTAGTGTCCTGGCCCCACTGGTGGACCTCCTGTATTTCTGGCCACTGTGTGACACAGAGTGTTGGACTGGATGGGCCACTGGCCTGATCCAGCACTGGTTTCTCTTATGTCTCCTTTGGGTAGCTTACGAGAAACTTTGCTGAAAAAGATGAATTTCTACATCAGATCGAGCTGTCATAACAAAGGAGTTCGAGACCCCTGGCTTAGAGGGAGCATTGGTCACTGGGTGTGTGTGTGTGGGGAGGTATTTGTGATTTTCCTGCATGGTGCAGGGGGTTGGACTAGATGACCCTGGAGGCCCCTTCCAACTCTAGGATTCTATGAGTCTAAGTCCAACCGGGAAAGCCTCCGATGCTCTGCATCTCAACCTGTTGAATTTCCAATTCTCAGGATCCTTTTAAAAAATGTGGGGGGGGGGGGGAGAGAAATAAAGAACGACGTTCTCGCTTTCGCTCGCTTTTCCTAGCGGCAGAATTCCGTCGAGGCCCCCCAACCGAACGGAAAACCCGGACCCGGGGCCGGGCGGCGATGCATCTCTTGCTCCATTTGAACTACTCCCTCCACGTGCAGAATTCAGAAGACTGGGCAGCAGCAGCGACGCATGCGCAGAGCCGGCCAGCGGGGAGGCCGAAGTGGCGCAAACGCAGTCAGCCCGCTGGGAGGCGGCAGTGACGCATGCGCAGAGCCGGCCAGCGGGAGGCCGAAACGACCCAAGCGCAGAGCCGGCCAGCGGGGAGGCAGCAGGGACGCATGCGTAGAGACGGCCAGCGGGAGTACAGGAGCGACACAAACGCACAGCCGGCTAGCAGGCGGAAGGGAGGCGGCAGTGACGCATGCGCACCACCTCTTTCCCCGTTGGCCCCGTCGCGCGTGTGGTACCGGAAGTGGGGCGAAGCGGAAGTGCGTGAGGGGGAAGGCGCCGGCGAAGGCCGCGAGGCGGAGGTCGTGGCGTCGACTGTGGCAGTGGCGGCGGTTGCCATGGTGGACTACAGCATCTGGGACCACATCGAGGTGTCCGACGATGCGCACGACACCCACCCCAACATCGACACGCCCAGTCTCTTCCAGCCACCAGGTGAGCGAGGGACCGAAATCCGCCTCTCCCGACTAAGGGTGCCACCCTCCCGGCGGAGCCTGGAGATCTCCCGGAATTGCAACTGGTCTCCAGGCCACGCGGATGCGCCCCGCCTGGAGAAAATGGCTGCTTTGGAAGGGGGGCTCTCTGACATTGCACCCCACTGGAGGTTCCTCCTTCCCCCAGGCTCCACCCTTCAGATTCCCAGAAATTTCCTGGGCTTCAGGTCCTGCGGGTAGGAGAAGTCCTGTTCTGGTGCTGTCTTTTAAAACCTCCCTGGGAATTTTAAAAAAATCCACCCTGTGGGGCGAGGGAAGGATCTCCCCTTACTTTTTCCCAGGCTTACATAGGGAAGAGGGTTTTTTTTTCTTTCCTTACCTATACCCCCAGAAACTGTTCTTGGCCCTTCCGGGTTCTGGGTTTCCAGTGAATTATTTTGCAATTTTTGTTCTGAACTTTTATTTTATTTTCCCCAATTTATTCTTTATTGTTTTTCACCAATATAGAAAGGATCATAGATACATACAATGATACACATCAGGAACGAATCATAATATCAAAATCACTAAACACATTTTACCCTTATAGATTTGTTATAAAATATAAGATCAACGAATACTTTTATTTTTTGCATCCCCCTAAGGGGAGTTTTTTATTGATTTTTTCACAACACTACAAACTACAACTGAAAAAATAGGAAGGGAAACTACCTCTAAGGAGAGAGAAAATAAACCCACTAATAACTAAAACCCCAAGAGTGGGAGATCAATACATCCGCTTATTTCAATATTAATCTAAGATGCTAGTAATACATTGAACATAGTTGGTTATGCTAAGTTATTTATATTTTAACCACCCAGTTATCTGTTAAATAACTTTAAACCAGACTCAGCGTGATAAGTGTATGTAATTTGTGGTGTCTAAGAGTTGATGCAAGAATCCACAACTAGTCAGTGAGGTGTCTAAACTATAGAGGTATCGCTTATACAAAGCGCGCTTTATGAGTGTAAAAGAGTGAGATAGATTGGATTGGATGGTTGGCATTCTGTTTTTAGAATATTTTCCAAGAATGGGAGCCATTTCTCATTAAAACTTGACTGTTTAGGATATATTTCAGATTGCTGCAATCGGTCAGTGGTCTTCTCCATAATGTAGTGGTCCCAGATTTTATTAAACCAGTTGTTGAACTTTTTGAGGGCATACAGAATTTAAAAAGGGGGAGGGGAAAGAATAAAAGGTAAAATTACCGAAACATAGTATGAAGGTCATTTTTTTGCAAATATAAAGGACAATCCTTGACTCAGGTACTTGAGTCTTTAGGAAAGTTAGATAACGTAATAACTTTAAAATCTACCGTAACAGGGGTGGCCAGACTTGCTTAATGTAACGGCCACACAGATGACTTGCAAGGTCCCTTCCAACTCTAACATTCTGTGATTCTGTGTAGGGCTCTCTTTCGGCTATGCTCCTGCAGAGTGCGGGGGTAGGACTAGATGACCTGCAAGGTCCCTTCCATCTCTAACATTCTATGATTCTGTGTAGGGCTCTCTTTTGGTGATGCTCCTGCAGAGTGCAGGGGGTTGGACTAGATGACCTGCAAGGTCCCTTCCAACTCTTAACATTCTGTGATTCTGTGTAGGGCTCTCTTTTGGCTATGCTCCTGCAGAGTGCGGGGGTTGGACTAGATGACCTGCAAGGTCCCTTCCATCTCTAACATTCTATGATTCTGTGTAGGGCTCTCTTTTGGCTGTGCTCCTGCAGAGTGCAGGGGGTTGGACTAGATGACCTGCAAGGTCCCTTCCAACTCTTAACATTCTGTGATTCTATGAACAAATATTGCACACGCATTTTAAACTGAAAAATATGCACTTTTGCTTTTTATTAACATCAAATTAGAGTGTGTGAAAGAGCCACGTGTGGCTCCCCAGCTGCAGTTTGGCCACCCCTGTACTATAGCAACCGTAACTCAACATTTCTACCATTTTATCCAGGAATTTCCCAACCCAGAGCTGGTGACCCTAGGTAAAAATAAATAAAAGGCTTTTGCCTTCTGGTTCTATGGACATTTGAAAAAAAATGCCACTGAGTTCAGTAACTCCCAAAGACGTATGCGTAGGATGGTGGGCATGGACCTTTCGCTTTGAAGAGCAGAAGGCTGTAGAGCAACTTTGATTCCTTTTCTTGAAGGGATGAGCCAGTCTGGTGTAGTGGTTAAGTGCGCGGACTCTAATCTGGGAGAACCGGGTTTGATTCCCCACTCCCCCACTTGCACCTGCTGGATGACTTTGGGCAAGACGTAGTTCTGATAAGAGCTGTCCTTGAAAAAGAGCCTTTTCTGCCAGAGCTCTCTCAGCCCCACCTACCTCCCAGGGTGTCTGTTGTGGGGAGGGGAAGGGAAAGGAGTTTGTAAGCCGCTCTGAAACACCTTTGGGTAGTGAAGGGCGGGGTATAAATCCAATCTCCTCTTCTTAATGGATTCCAGTTTGGTGTAGTGGTTCAGTGCACGGACTATAATCTGGGAGGGCCGGGTTTGATTCCCCACTCCTCCACTTGCACCTGGCTGGATGACCTTGGGCAAGCCGTACTTCTGACAAGAGCTGTTCTCTCAAGGGCAGTTCTGCAAAGAACTCTCTCTCAGCCCCACCTCCCTCACAGGGTGCCTGTTGTGAGGAGGGGAAGGGAGAGGAGTTTTTCAGCCGCTCTGAGACTCCTTTGGGTAGTGAAGGGCGGGGTATAAATCCAATCTCTTCTCTTCCTAGGCCAAGTCCCCCTGCATGTACACTCCTATTTGCCCTCAAGGTACCCGACAGGGTGGCAACTGGACGGTGGATACGCGAGTTGCAGCTTGCCATGCAAATGCCTCACACACCCAAGATGATCCTCATTCACCTTTGGGTGTGTCCGTTATTCTTCCTGCACTGTATATGTCCCTTCCCCCCCACCCCCCTTAGCACTCTTGCCACCACATGCTTGCAAAAACCATTTCAGATCTGGAAGGGGAGATCTGAAGTAGTGTAGGAGCCTCATGCAACATGGATAGATTGATCTAAGCGGCAGCTTTCCGTTGATAGGTTGTTAAGGCTTTAGGTGGTGAATCTGGAGCGGCCAGTTTGAATTGCTGAGGGTGTGAGTCACTGCAGGGGGCATCAGTACTTTCTGATGCTCCTTTTCTCGTCATGTGTAACTGTCACAGGGGATGCGAAATTCACCATGGCTTTTCTAAAGAAACCTCTGTTTGTGAAATTGTAAGGTATTTCAGAAAGGCATGGAGAGGTTTTGGAAAATATACATTACAAGAGAGGGACTCACCAGGGGTAGGAGCGGGAGAGAGGGAAGCGGCACCTCTCTGCTGGGTCCAACTTCCCTCCCCCAGCTCTGGCTCCAGTTAGCCAGGGCTTTGCCAATTTTAACTGAACTTTTGGGATTCTTAGGGGAGCTCCAGATGAAGCCTCCATGTACTGATTCAGACCCTTAGTCCATCAGGGTCAGTGTTGTCTGCTCGGACTGGCAGACGCTCCCCAGGGTCTCCGGCTGAGGTCTTTCCCATCACCTCCTGCCTGGTCCTTCTAACTGGCGATGCCAGGGATCAAAGCTGGGACCTTCTGCATTCCAAGCAGACGGTCTGCCACTGAGCCAGGGTCTCAGGTCAAGGTCTTTCTCATCACCTCCTGCCTGGTCCTTTTAACTGGAGATGCCAGGGATTGAGCCTGGGACCTTCTTCATCTCCAGTTAAAATGGCCAGACAGGAGGTGATAAGACCTTGACCACAGACCCTGGCTCAGCGGTAGAGCCTCTGCTTGGCATGCAGAAGGTCCCAGGTTCAATCCCCCGGCATCTCCAGTTAAAAGGACCAGGCAGGAGGTGAAGAGAAAGACCTTGACCAGAGACCCTGGTCATTTACATTTATAGAGAAACTAGGAGGGAAGCTCGTTGTAGGGAGAAGACAACGGACGCTAGAAAGACAGGGGGCCCCCGTCCCCCTTCTTACTTTCTTATATAAGTTCTAAATGCATTTTAAAAAACCCTAAAATAATGTATGCTACTAATCTAGAAATGTGCTGTTTTTCATGCTGGGAGCAGACGGACAACCACAAACCTGGAAGCCTTTCAGAAACAGTATGAGAGCCAGTTTGGTTAGTGATTAAGTGTGCGGACTCTGATCTGGGAGAACTGGGTTTGATTCCCCACGCCTCCACTTGCACCTGCTGATGTGACCTTGGGTCAGTCACAAGCTCTGGCACAGCCGTCCTTGAAAAAGAGCCGTTTGTGTCAGAGTTCTCTCAGCCCCACCCACCTCCCAGGGTGTCTGTTGTGGGGAGGGGAAGGGAAAGGAGTTTGTAAGCTGCTCTGAGACTCCAAGTGAAGGGTGGGGTATAAATTCAATCTCTTCTTCTTCATCTATTTTTCCTATCAGAGTTTGCCAAATCTTATCAAATGTCTCATGAGCAACAGCCGCCTCAGAAGACGCTTCCACTGAAATCCTTTCTCTTTTCCCTTTGTGAGCACATCTGGTGTCCAGCCAGACAAGCATCCAGAACCCAGTTCCTGTTACAGTAGATGGCCCCAGTCTAGAAACTGTTTGGCTTCTTCATTAATATTTGCTTTAAAAATGTTGCCTGGGACCAGTGTTCCCCCTAAGCTGAGTTAGTGTGAGCTAGCTCACAGTTTTTTAGCCTATGGCTGACACATCTTTGTCTTCGCTCAGGAAGGCTCCAGAGCAAACTATTTTATGCAGTAGCCAAGTCGCTTGCTCACAACTTTAATTCTGGTTGCTCACCAAGTAGAATTTTTGCTCACAAGACTGCACAGCTTAGAGGGAGCATTGCATGGGACCACTATTGTTTTCCAATGAAAAGCATAATGGTTATTGATTCAGAAGACTGGCAGCCCCGTCCGTCTCAGGATCAGTATGTTGTTGGCCAACGTCTGAGAACCAACGCAGATGAAAAGAGCGAGGGTGGCGATGCCCAGGTTCAGAGGCAACATGATGCTAAACATGCTTAAACCCCGGCTTAAACTATTCATAGCCCATGAGGTAAGAAGAGAGACTCATCTGTTCTGACCTCCTTATACGTAGGCTGGAAATTTTAGCCTGGCAGGATTAAAGCATAAAACATCTCTCTTGCTGGATGCAGGGGTGTCTGCCTGATAAGGACATCAGAAGAGCCCTGCGGGATCAGACCAGAAAGGGTCCATCTAGTCCAGCCTCCTGTCTCAAACAGAGGCCAACCAGTTCCTTTGGAGGGCCAGCAACAGGGCAGAGAGGCCGAGGCCTTCCCCTGGTAAGAACACCAGAAGAGCCCTGCTGGGTCAGACCAGGGAGGGTGCCTCTAGTCCAGCCTCCCGTCTCACACAGGGGCCAGCCAGTTCCTCTGGAGGGCCAGCAACAGGGCAGAGAGGCCGAGGCCTTCCCCTGATAAGAACACCAGAAGAGCCCTGCTGGGTCAGACCAGGGAGGGTCCCTCTAGTCCAGCATCCCGTCTCACACAGGGGCCAACCAGTTCCTCTGGAGGGCCAACAACTGGGCAGAGAGGCTGAGACCTTCCCCTTATATTGCCTCCTGGCACTGGGAATCAGAATTTGACTGCCTCTGAGCGTGGAGGTTCACTTTAGTAACTGTGGCTAATAGCCACTGATAGACCCATCCTCTGCAAATGAATCCCCATTTAAGGATATCTTTGCCTGTGGCCATCACTGCCTCCTCTGGCAGCAAATTCCACTTTTTGTTTGTTTGTTTTTATGCCCCCTGTAAGGGATTTTTTATTGCATTTTCTATAAACCACAACGAAATTAGGGAGGGGATCTACAAACTATAGGAGAAAGTAAAGAAAACCCACTAAAAACCCAAGAGATGGTGGTCATACATACTGTTTAACAAGTTAGCTTTTAACTCAACATTTGATTCCAATTCATTGAATGAGATCATCTGATAATCTATTAATACTTAAGTAAAAATCTAAACACCACCGTATCTGACTTTTAAAGAGTAATAAAAGAAGTACTTATAACAAAACAGTGTAAGAGATTTCAGAGTGCAGTAACATCTCATTTTTTATACTTTTTCTTTCTCAAGTGGTAGCTTGTCTTTGGGGCTGCCGCCCCCCATTTAGAGTCTGAGTTCTCGTCTGAAGATACCGCTGCTCCCTCTTCTTCACTTTCTTCCTCCTCCTCTTCTTCTTTTTCTCCTGCTGGGCAACTACGTCAATGCAGAAATTCACGTGCCTTTTCAACAGAGTGAATTTTTTCTTTCTTGTCCATAAATTTGAAATTCCACATTTTAACCACTGGCTGTGTCAAGAAGTATTCCCTTCTCACCTACTGCCTGTCAGCTTCTCTCAAGCCTCTTCCAAGCTCGTAGACCTGGGCTCAGGGTCAAAAGCGCAGGTTTTGGAAGGCCTGAGAAGAGGTGGTCGAGAGAGGCATCTCCCTGCATCTGCATCTGCTTGACAGTGTCCCTTTGCTTCCCCATTTTGCTTCCATGCTTGGGGGTTCTCTGCCTGCTTCCACTGTTGTTGTTGTTCAGTCACACAGTTGAGTCCGACTCTTTGCGACCCCAAGGACCAGGTCACGCCAGGCCTTCCGGTCTTCCGCTGTCCTCTGAAGTTGGCTCAACTTCATGTTCGTTGCATCGATGACCCTATCTCACCATCTCCTCCTTTGCCGTCCCCGTCTTCTTTGACCTTCAGTCTTTCCCAGCATCAGGGTCTTCTCCAGTGAGTGCTCCCTTCTCATTGGGTGGCCAAAGTATTTGAGCTTCAGTTTCATTATCTGGCCTTCCAGGGAACAGTCAGGGTTGATTTCTTTTAGGATTGACTGATTGGATCTCCTTGCAGTCCAAGGGACTCTCAAGAGTCTTCTCCAGCACCATAGTTCAAAAGAATCTATTCTTCGGCGCTCGGCCTTCCTTATAGTCCAACTCTTGCAGCCATACATGACTACTGGGAATACCATGGCTTTGACCATGCGGACTTTTGTTGGCAGGGTGATGTTTCTACTTCCACTGTAACTGCCTTTAGATTTGTGCAGATGGGACTCCAGGCAATGAATATGAGTGCTGGGGAAACTGGGAGTGCAGGAACCTGTGTTCATTGGGGAGAGAAGCCGGCAGGGATCCCAAATGCTTCAGGGGGGGGGAGAGAGAGAGTTGTTCTAAGCCAAAACTCAATTTATTTTGTTACACACTGTTAAGACAGAAAACACTTTCAATATTCAACATAGACTATTTCAACACAACCCCAATACATAAATAGAGCCAGTTTGGTGTAGTGGTTAAGTGTGCGGACTCAAATCTGGGAGAATTGGGTTTGATTCCCCCACTCCTCCCCATGCAGCCAGCTGGGTGGCCTTGGGTCAGTCACAAGTTCTGTCAGAGCTGTTCTCTCAAGGGCAGCTCTGGAAAGAGCTCTCTCAGCCCCACCTCCCTCACAGGGTGTCTGTTGTGGGGAGAAAGGGAATGTGATTGTAAGCCGCTTTGAGACTCCTTCAGGTAGTGAAGAGCAGGGTATAAAAACCAATCCTTCCTCCGCTCTGCGACTCCTTCGGGTAGTGAAGGGCAGGGTATAAATCCAATCTCTTCTTCTTCTTCACTTGTACTTCTATAAAGGGTATCCTTGGTTGCTCCGTCAAGACCCATAACGGTGGGTGGTTGGCCAGAACAACCACAAGCAAGTACCGTTTTTCTTTCATTGGAGCTAACGTAATTCTCAAGTCAAGTCTGTTGCTAAGCATCTGACGTACACGACACAGCCCTTCCTTTCTGTCTCTGGGGTCAGGAAAGTCACGGGAAAACTAGAGTGACTCAGAGAGTCAAGGAGACTAGTTACAGGTACCCTATTTAGAATTTTATACGGTATAAACGTTCCAAAGGGCCAAAGACATATAAGACAAAAGTCACATACAGGGTTATCGGCAGCAGAAGGCCGCAGCACTTAGCAGAGTTTTGAAGCCTCCTGGGAAACAAAGGAAAAGAAGAAAGGAGATTGGATTTCTACCCCGCCCTTCACTCGGAGTCTCCGAGTGGTTTGCAGTCTCCTTTCCCTTCCTCCCCCCACAACAGACACCCTGTGAGAGGTTGCTGACTGAGAACTGCTCTTAAGAGAACAGCTCTGAAAGAACTTGTGACTTATGCACCGTGCTTGAGTCTAAAAAAACTCTTTACGCCAGTTTGGTGTCGTGGTTAAGTGCGCGGACTCTAATCTGGGAGAACCGGGTTTGATTCCCCCACTCCTCCACTTGCACCTGCTGATGTGACCTTGGGTCAGTCACAAGCTCTGGCACAGCTGTCCTTGAAAAAGAGCCGTTTCTGTCAAGAGCTCTCTCAGCCCCACCCCCACCTCACAGGGTGTCTGTTGTGGGGAGGGGAAGGGAGAGGAGTTTGTGAGCAGCTCTGAGACTCCAAGTTAAGGGCGGGGTATAAATCCAATCTCTTCTTCTCTCTTCTTTATCTGGGAAGACTTTTATGGACTCCAAATAGTAAGTCCCTGATAACATTCCAGAGGTACGCATCCTTCACAGGCATGACTCATTTCTGTCGAACACGTAGCCCCGTAGGCAAGATTTTGGCAGCCAGAGCATTGTTACTCAAAAGAGCGCACTATCAAAAGTCCTGTAGCGTTGTAAAGGCTTTAATAGCTTTATTATGGCCTAAGAAGAAGAGATTGGATTTATACCCCACCCTTCACTCGGAGTCTCAGAGCAGCTTACAAACTCCTTTCCCTTCCCCTCCCCACAACAGGCACCCTGTGAGGTAGGTTGGGCCGAGAGAGCTCTTTCAAGGACTGTCCTTTCAAGGACAGCTCTTATTAGAACTATGGCTTGCCCAAGGTCATCCAGCAGCTGCAAGTGGAGGAGTGGGGAATCAAACCCAGTTCTCCCAGATTAGAGTCTGCGCACTTAACCGCTACACTATGTGAAGCCTGCCATGAGATTGTTGGAAGTGTTGTCCTTGTTCGGTAGAGTTTTATGGGAACAGAGATGGGTAAAAGACAAAGAGGAAAAGATGAATTACACGGAGCAGCAGTAATTCTGGCAAATTTCTGTGCATAGTTCGAACGCATATGTGGTGTCAGGGCAGAGTGACCCTGTCGCAAGAGCCTTAGCTGGCAATGCTGTTAGTTTGGGTCACGTTACTCCTGTAGTGAAACTTTATTTCCCCCCTACAGTCCTGATTACGTCCGCATTGAGTGTAATCCGATTTGTTAGGTTCTCATTCAACAATTCCGTGCTGGGAACTCGCCGCCGAGGTCCTTTTGTGGGAGCACAGCGACTTTCACAGCGGAGTGTTCTGAGAGACTGAAATGTTCTTGTGCTGCTTTCTGAATATCGCGATCAAGAAACCACAGCCACTCTTTAGCGGTACTCCCCCCCCCCCTTTTGTTGCCAAGTTTCCACCGACTTATGGCAACCCCATAGTGTTTTCAAGGCAAGAGACCCAACAGCAGTGGTTTGCCGTTGCCTACCTCCATGTAGCGACCCTGGACTTCCTTGGTGGTCTCCCATCTAGAGATGTAAAATTTCCGGAAATTTTGAAGCTCGGAAAAAAACGGAAATTTTCGGGGAAAATGAAAAAAATGCTACATTAGCATTTCTTTTGTCTTTTCTAGATTGAAAGTCATTCTGTTACTTTAGGAACATAAAATATGACTATGGACATTCTTACTTGGCATGAAATTATCACAAGTAGCATATTAAAAATATAGTGTATCCAAACAATTATTACAAACAGAATACCCACCCACATGCAAAAACAAAATGGAAACCTTTTTCTTTTCTTGTGACAATAGCACCTCCTAAAGGAAGAAATGCGTCTTGTTCTTGCATTGGAGAGTTCCATTTGTAACCTAGGACTTACTTGTCCTCAGTGCACAGAAATTAGATCAATCTGATACCATATATATTGATCTAAATCAGATTGATCTAATTTCTGTGCACTGAGGACAAGCAAGTCCTAGGTTACAAACTGAACTCTTCAATGCAAGAACAAGACGCATTTCTTCCTTTAGGAGGTACTATTGTCAGAAGAAAATAAAAAAGTTTGTTTTGTTTTTGCATGTGGGTGGGTATTCTGTTTGTAATAATTGTTTGGATACACTATATTTTTAATATGCTAGTTGTGATAATTTCATGCCAAGTAAAAATGTCCATAGTCATATTTTGTTCCTAAAGTTCCTAAAAAAGATGACTTTCAATCTAGAAAAGACAAAAGAAATGCTAATGTAGCATTTTTTTCAATTTTCCCGAAAATTTCCGTTTCCCCTCGAAAAAACCCTGAAAAAACCCAGGTTTTTTTCCGAGCTTCAAAATTTCTGGAAATTTTACATACCTACGCCAGATACACTGGCAGAACATCACAACACATCTGATGCCATACGTATTTTTTAGAACACCTTTGTCTTAAAATATTTTATTCGTTATGTTAAAATAAAACGTTCCATAATCAATTTTCTTTTCCTTTTTCCAATTTTTCGGGAAAAAACAAAAAAAGGCTCCAGGGAAAAAATGGGGGGAAACCGGTTTTTCCCCGGGCCGTCACATCTCTAGTGGCAGCTGTTTCGTAGTCAGAATTCCAAAGGCGGTGGCACAATCAAAAAGTTTGGGGACCCCCTAAGGTCGACTGTGCCGATGCAGCAGGGGAAACGGGTGAACACCTGTGTCTCAATGATTGTCTCCCAGGCCCGGGTCGAGCGAATGGAACAGTTCCAGAAGGAGAAAGAGGAGGTGGACAAAGGCTGCCGGGATTGCAAGCGGAAACTAGCCGAGTGCCAGAAGAAGGTGAAAGAGCTGGAGCTGTCGAGCGCGGAGGGCTCCAGGAGCGAGCTGCAGAGGCTGCAGGCGGAAGCCCAGCAGCTCAAGAAAGAGGAGAAGAACTGGGAGGAGAAGGCGGCCGACCTCCGGAAGAAAGAGAAGAGCATGCCCTGGAACGTGGACACCCTCAGCAAAGACGGCTTCAGTAAGGTGAAACCAGGCTTCTCCTCGCGGTGAGCCGGGCCCCCCGTTCTGCCACGAGAGCGAATTACGCGACCAGCATGATCGTAGATCGAGACGAGTAGCCTCGTTTGTCTGTAGCAGTGGAAGAGAGCGAGAGACCTGCAGCACCTTAAAAGACTAACAACATCTGCGTCAGGGTGAGAGATTTCGTGAGTCACTGCTATCTGAAGAAGTGAGTGACGGCTCCCGAAAGCTCGGCCCTCCCCACAGATTTTGTTACTCTTTAAGGTGCTACTGGACTCTTGCTCTTTTCTATAGCATAATTATGTGACTAGCATAGCGTGTGGGTTTTGTAACACAGCTGTGAGATTTGGATTTAGCTCTGTAGCATTTGGATTGGGGGGGGGGGTCATTTATTTATTATTGATTTACTTAAAGCATTTATTAGCCCTTCTTCTTCCTGAATTTTTAAATTATTTTTCAAACAAAACACAACAAATAGACATACATACATATATGACAGTTATACCGGTAATATTTTACCTTTTAACCTATGTCATACATACATACATACATACAAATCTGAATGCCGTGAGCCACGTTTCTTCTGATAGAACCTAAGGCAGCTTTCAATATAAATAAAATACATAAAATAGTTTGGGTAAAAGTAGATAAAAAATAGTTTGGGTAAAAGCAGATGAAGCCCAATTTTAAAATTCACAATTTGGGGCTGCTTCAATCAAATGGAGTCTTAAATAAAACCGTCTTTGGCTCCCTCCTAAAGATCAAAAGTGAAGGTGCCGGACACATTCTCCGGGAAGGCTGTTCCATAATTCTGGGGCTGCCACTTAAAAGGCTCTGCTCGAAGCCCCCATGGACACTTTCCCCATCAAGTAGTTTTAGAAAGTGGGTGGGGCTTTCACCCAGCAAGGTTTCTGATTGGCCGTTGGCGATTTGATTGGCTGTGCCGCTCTTTAAAGAGATCTCTTTGGCAGCATCAGCCGCCACAGCGCAAGGATCTTTGTCGCGTGACTGAAGGTGAGCCACGGCAGCCACGTTGTGTCTGGCTCCGCCTCCCGCAGCAGCCATTTTGTGGCTGTGCCCGCTGCTCCGTGTCAGGATTCCAGAGGTGCGCACCGGCTCAAAAAGATCAGTGGAAGCTAGGGTGGGACTCTGGTCTTAGCAGCCTTTGTCTAGCCAAACAGTCCCAGCCGCGCACTGACCGGACTTCTTGCTGTCGTTCCAGAGCGTCTTCAACGTCAAGGCCGAGTCACCGGAAGAAGAGTCTGAAGAGCAGAAGGAGAAGAAGCATAAAACCTTCGTGGAGAAGTACGAGAAGCAAATCAAACACTTTGGTAAGCTGGAGGCAGAGTTTGCCCATGTCGTCTCCAGTGCTCCCTCTAAGCAGTGGAGTCTCGTGAGCAAAAAATTCTACTTTGTGAACTGCCGGCATGGAAGTTGTGAGCGAGCCATTTGGCTGCTGCATGAATTCGTTTGCTCTGGAGCCCTCCTTCCTGAGCCGAGACAAAAAGGTGTGAGCCGGAGGCTAAAAGAACTGTTAGCTAGCTCTCACTGACTCAGCTTAGAGGGAACACTGGTCGTCGCTGGGTGATCAGTTCTCCTGTTTCAGTTCACGAATCCTTTCCGGATTGCCGTCTCGTGGGACCACTGGCCACATGCGTTAGCTTTTTATCACAGTGAAGGTCAGTGTGGCTCGTTTAGACACAGATCGGTGGTCTGCATGGATATAGACAGTATGACCGGACTGTAAGTCTAACTAAATATTTCGGGGGGGGGGGGATGCTTCATTGCTGGCTGCAGAAAAGGGGGTTTGGGAGGCATGGGAGAGGGGCTTCCTGCAGTGAGACACCTCAAGGAGCCAGTCAGCACCTTTGCTGAGACTTTTGTCACGAGGGCCGGATCTGACATAAACGAGGCCTTTTTGGGCCAGGCCACGTGTGTCATAAAATGTAATACCTGGTAGCGGAGATATAAACTTTATAAAGGACACAAACACAAAGGGTTTCTTTTTTACTTAAAATAAAAACATGCTTAAAACATTAGCACTCTTGCAACATTCTGTTTATTTAACAGTGTCTGATAACGGACACCTCTTGGCTCTGAATTATTGCATCAAAATGTTTATGCTGCTGCAATCTTGAGTATGCTGTTCAGGTGTGTATCTGTAGGCTGCAAACCTAGGATGACGCAGCAGCAGAACTTGAAGAAGAAGCAGAAGACAGCCAGTTCCACTGCGGGCCTGATAGAAGCCCTCCGGGGGGGGGCTTCATCCGGCCCCCGGGCCACATTTTTGACACCCACTACAGAAGAGAGAAGAAGAAGAAGAGATTGGATTTATACCCCGCCTTTCACTTGGAGTCTCAGAGCGGCTTACAAACTCCTTTCCCTCCCCCTCCCCACAACAGACACCCTGTGAGGTGGGTGGGGCTGAGAGAACTCTGACACAAACTGCTCTTTTTCAAGGACAGCTGTGCCAGAGCTTGTGACTGACCCAAGGTCACATCAGCAGGTGCAAGTGGAGGAGTGGGGGAATCAAACTCAATTCTCCCAGATTAGAGTCCGCGCACTTAACCACTACAACACACTGACTTCTCATGAGCATACGTTCCCTCCCCTGGACTGGTTCCCCAGGATCACGGTGGATTTTCCGCTCTGTCCTTGTGAACTGGGTTGTCGAATCCTGCCCTGGCTGAATTCCCGCTTCTAATGTGTTCAAAGTAGCCTTTGCTGTTGAATTCCTTTAGCGGCAAACTCCCCAGATTCCTTTGTGGGTGTTTGTTTTTGGCAGGGGGAGGGTTCCTTTACTCATAGTTGCCTGATCTTGACATTAACAGGTGGGGAAATAGAATGTGGAGACTGCCAGCTTGCAGATCTTACCTGAATACCATCAGCCAGGTGTTCAGGTTGTATCAAGCCCGCTTTCTGAAGTGGGAGCCCTTTTCACTGGCGCTTAGCGGGTAGGGGGTGAGTCTGCAGGCCAGGTCCGCGTGGCCCTTTTGTCTTCTCGTGCTGTGTGTTACGCATCGTCGAGTCGCTGCCAACCCGTGTTCCCTCTAAGCTGAGTTCGTTTGAGCCAGCTCACAGTTTTTTAGCCTCCGGCTCACACATTTTTGTCTTCGCTCAGGAAGGAGGGCTCCGGAGCAAACTTAAGTGATGCGGTAGCCCAATCGCTCGCTCACTTTAATGCCGGTAGCTCAGAAAGTAGAATTTTTGCTCACACGGCTCCACAGCTTAGAGGGAGCCTTGCTTCCAACCTGTGGCAACCCTTGCTCAGGTCTTGCAAACTGGGGGTCGCGGCGTCCCCGGTGGAGTCCATCCATCTCCTGTCGTGTCTTCTTCTTTCCCTGCCTGCCTTCCACTTTTCCTCGCCTTACTGTCTGCTCCCATGACTCTCGATTTCTCAAGATGTGACTGAAGTACAACAGCCCCAGTTCCGTCATTTTAGTTTCTAGGGAGGAATTCAGGGCTTGGCATGATCTAGAACCCATTGATTTGTCTTTTCGATGGCCCCTGGTATCCGTAAAACTCTCCTCCCAATTACTTCATGCTCTGTTTTTAATACTCGAGTTACCTAAAGGATCAAACTTCTTTAAGTTTGTGGGTATCCCCGAGAAACAGTGTCTTCCCCGCTCTTAATCCATCCCAGTTACTTCTGAATGCAAGTCACTTGGGTGTTTACGCACACACTGAATGATCCACTTTCAGCCCCCTTCCAGTGCACTCTAGGGATTGTTGCAAGTGGACTTTCCTATTTCACACAGGGGTTTTCCGCATTCTTATTTTACTCGCTTGTGCTCCTGTTTCTCCAGGGTGTAGTGGTTAGGAGCGCGGACTCTAATCTGGGAGAACCAGGTTTGATTCCCCCACTCCTCCACATGCATCTGCTGGTGTGACCTTGGGTCAGTCACAAGTTCTCTCAGAGCTGTTCTCTCAAGAGCAGTTTCTCTCAGAGCTCTCTCAGCCCCACCTACCTCCCAGGGTGTCTGTTGTGGGGAGGGGAAGGGAAAGGAGATTGTCAGCCGCTCTGAGACTCCTTTGGGTAGTGAAGGGCGGGGTATGAATCCAATCTCTTCTTCTTCTTTTACCTCACAGGGGGTGTCTGTGGTGGGGAGGGGAAGGGAAAGGAGATTGTCAGCCGCTCTGAGACTCCTTTGGGTAGTGAAGGGCAAGGCATAAATCCAATCTCTTCTCTCCCTTCTTCCCTTCCGGTACGTGTTTTGCACTTTCTAGTAGTCGATTTGATATTACATCGCTTTATGTCCAACGTAAAACCTGCTGTTTGAATCTGCAGGTTTTTTTTCTGCCAGACATAAAGCAAAGTAATATTAAATTGACCACTAGAGGGAGGGAAACGCGTGGAAGAGGACAACACCCCCCCTCCCCCCCCGGGAAGCAACAGGATCACACAAGCGAGAAACATGAGACTGCAGGAAAGCCCCCCGGTAAAAGCCACTTGCAGAGTGCGTTATTCGGTACGTGTGAAAATATCACCGGGTGTGTGCAGTTGTAGCCCACCAGCAGTGTTCTCTCTAAGCAGAGTTAGTGTGAGCCAGCTTACAGTTTTTCAGCCTCCGGCTCACACATTTTGGTCTCCGCTCAGGAAGGAGGGCTCCAGAGCCAACTGATTTATGCAGCGGCCAAATCGCTCGCTCACAACTTTAATGCCAGGAGCTCACAAAGTAGAATTTTTGCTCACAAGACTCCACAGCTTAGAGGGAGCATCGCCCGCCAGTGGTTCTTTCTGGGGCCGTCCGTGCTGTGTGAAATTCCTGGTGCCAAAGCCCGCGAGAGCAAAAGCAGGCTTGACGGCTGACCTCTTCCCATTTCACAGGGATGCTGCACCGCTGGGACGACAGCCAGAAGTACTTGTCCGACAACCCGCATCTCGTGTGCGAAGAGACGGCCAATTACTTAGTCATCTGGTGTATCGACCTGGAGGTGGAAGAGGTGAGTGAGAAGCCCGGTGATGCATCAGAGATCCGGCTCGCCGAAAGGTGTGGGAGAGGGGGAGAGAGAGAGCGCGCTTCAGAGAGCGCTAACGCAGGGATGTTATAGCCGGACCCCACCAGGTTTTGTGTTATGTCACTGGTCTGTCGTTTAATCAGCTTCAAGTGTTCATTTATTACGAGTGCACGGATAAAGACAAACATCTCTGTCTCATAATCACGTTCTGAGACAGGCTAAATAATAGATTTCCAATCCACTTTTAATACACTTTGCAGCTGGATTTTACGGTGACAGCGCATTATTTAGCACGTGTGCCTGCGCCCTAAGAGGCATTGCTTGCGCAAGACAAATCCGTAAAAGTCTCTCCCCATATTTATTTCAGTTTCTGGGATCTGGAAACCCATCTTACGACTGAAGGTGCAAATAATGAGATTGATCACTGGGGTGAACATTAAGTGTGTGTGTGTGTGTGTGTGTGTGTGTGTGTACACATATGGATGTGTACAGTGCCGTCAAATCACAGCCGACTTATGGTGACCCTTCATGAGCGTTTCAGGGCAAAGGATGTTCAGAGGTGGTTGGCCATTGCCATCTAGGTCAAAACAAGAGACTTCAGAGGTGATCTGCCGATGCTTGTGTCACCGCTCAGGTGGGGTGTCACCTGACGCTGCCACCACTCTGGATTTAGGTTCCCTTGAGAAGGCCCAGAGCACCCTCCCAAGACCTTCAGACCTCCCTTTAGGCCAAATAACAGGCGTGAGGACCAGGCAGAGTGAAACAAGGAAAAGGTTTATTTTGTAGGAGGTCAAACAACAAGGTGCAGAATAATAACAGTAAGTGGGTGAAAAGAAAAGAAATCAAATGCCCCAACGCGTCTGAATATAGACTGTCCCTCAGCTCACTATCTCAAGTGGCCTTACTCTACTCACCCTTCCCTCAGGATGAGGGTCTCTTCCTGCAGCAGCCTTCCTTCCGGCTCTGCCCTCTGGGAAGAAAGAACAGCGTCTGCTCTGGCACCAGCCCTTTTGTTCCCCAGCCCTCTTCTTCCCTATTGGTCCATTTTGGCTCCAAAACCTCCCAGGGGCTTCTGGGAGTTGTAGGCCCAGCCTCACCTACTGCTAGCCAGGCTCCCTGGGCCTAGTAGGCCTCTGGTGCCACAGCCCAAATCATGACAGGCCTGCTTTTCTAAGGCGTTTGCTGTGTCAAGCAGAGCTCCAAAGCTGTGAACCTGGATGGCTTAAGGAAGATAGTTTGGGGAGGGTGGCAGGAAACAAGAGAAGGGTTTGCCCCACAGGCTTGTTCCCTCACTATCTCAAGTGGCCTTACTCTACTCTCCCTTCCCTCAGGATGAGGGTTTTCCCCCTGCAGCAGCCTCTCTTCTGGCTCTGCCCTCTGGAAGAAAGAACAGCTCTTCCTGCCGCTCCAGAACTTTTATTCCAAGCCCTCCTCTTTTCCCATTGGTCCGTTTTGGCTCCAAAACCTCCCAGGGGCTTCTGGGAGTTGTAGGCCCAGCCTCACCTACTGCTAGCCAGGCTCTCTGGGCCTAGTAGGTCTCTGGTAACACAGCCCAGATCATGACAGCTTGCCTCTGCGTAGCAACCCTGGACTTCCTTGGTGGTCTCCCCTCCAAGCACTAACCAGGGCCGACCCTGCTTAGCTTCTGAGACCTGATGAGATCGGGCCAGCCTGGGCCATCCAGGTCAAGACGAGAAGCAAACAGAGGCGGGTTTGCCCTTGCCTGCCTCTGCATAGCAACCCCGGACTTTTTTGGCTTTCTCCCCATCCCGCTTGGCTTCTGAGATCTGCCGCGATCCATCCAGCCCCGGCAACGTTAGATAACCGATAAAAATCACTAGCAGGTAACTTCCCAGGCAGAGAGGGACTCGCCCTTGCAGCAGTCGCTGTGCAGGTGGGCAGTCCTCATAAATCCTGCACAGAACGAGCTGCCGGCCTCTGCTTCGGAGCTCTGGTTTCCCCCGCCGCGAGAGTTATGTCAGCTGTCGTCGCACGTCTGGTCCTGCCGGGTCAGTCGGTGCTGTCTTGCAGCCAAGCGGCCTGCCTCGAGGGATGGGCCGGCCTCAGAGTCGGAGGGTGGGATCTCTTGACGGGCAGGGCTGGAGCTCAGCTCAGTTTCGGGAGTTGGAGCTGGAAGGGGGGTCGTCGGGGGGCCCAGCAGCAATCAGACCAGCTGCTCTCCTGTGCCCACAGTCTCATAAGAGCATCAGAGAAGCTAATGCTGGATCAGGCCAGTGGCCCATCCAGTCCAACACTCTGTGTCATACAGTGGCTAAAAATACCAGGTGTCCTCAGGAGGTCCAGCAGTGGGGCCAGGACACTAGAAGCCCTCCCACTGTTGCCCCCCCCCAGGCCAATGGCCCATCCAGTCCAACACTCTGTGTCACACCGTGGCCAAATATACTAGGTGCCCTCAGGAGGTCCAGCAGTGGGGCCAGGACCACTAGGAGCCCCCTCCCACTGTTACCCCCCCCCCAACCACCAAGAATACAGAGCATCACTTGCCCCAGACCGAGAGTTCCTATCTATACTTGGTGGCTAATAGCTACTGATGGACCTCTGCTCCATATGCTTATCTAATTCCCTCTTGAAGCTGTCCATGCGTGTAGCTGCCACCCCTTCCTGTGGCAGTGAATTCTATGTGTCAATCACTTTTTGGGCGAAGAAGGACTTCCTTTTATCTGTTCTAACCCAACTGCTCAGCAATTTCATGGAGTGCCCACAAGTTCTTGAATTGTGAGAAAGGGAGAAAAGGACTTCTTTCTCGACCTGCTCTATCCCATGCACAATCTTGTAAACCTCGATCATGTCACCCCTCAGCTGTCGTTTCTGTAAGCTAAAGAGCCCCAAGTGCTTTGACCTTTCTTAAGAGGGAAAGTGTTCCAATCCTTTTATCATTCAGGAAGGAGAAGCTGAGAAGAGAGGCAGAGGCGTAGAATGATTTTAGAGGGTTTTTAGAAATTAGAACCTACGAGAAGCCATGTTGGAACAGGCCAATGGTCCCTCCAGTCCAACACTCTGTGTCACACAGTGGCCAAAACCCAGGGGCCATCAGGAGGTCCACCAGCGGGGCCAGGACTCCAGAAGCCCCCCCACTGTGGCCCCCCAAGCACCAAGAAAACAGGGCATCACTGCCCCAGACATAAGGACATAAGACAAGCCATGTTGGATCAGGCCAGTGGCCCCTCCAGTCCAACTCTCTGTGTCACACAGTGGCCAAAACCCAGGGGCCATCGGGATGTCCACCAGCAGGAACAGAACTGCAAAAGCCTTCCCACTGTTGCCCCCCCCCCAAGTACCAAGAAGACAGAGCATCACTGCCCGAGACGGAGCATTCCATCTATACCTTGTGGCTAACAGCCACTGATGGACCTCTGCTCCAGATGTTTATCCAGTCCCCTCTTGAATCTTGTGCTTTTAGCCGCCATCACTTCTTGCAGCAGTGAATTCCACGTGTGAATGAGTCCTTGGGAGAAGAAGGGCTTCCTTTTATCCGCTCTAATCCTACTGCTCGGCAATTTCTTGGGAGTGCCCACGAGTTCTTGTACTGTAGGAAAAGGAGAAAAGGACTTCTTTCCCCACCTGCTCTATCCCACGCATAATCTTATAAACCTCGATCATGTCACCCCTCAGCCGTCTTTTCTCCAGATTAAATAGCCCTACCATCTTTAACCTTTCTTCAAACTGTGAAGCCTCAGGAGGCAAAAAACAGAATTTCGGGGGGAAAGATGAAACATATTACTTTACTAATCTTATGTTCCTACTCTAATGACATTAAGCCATCATTTATAACTCAGCATGTAATGTTGTCATAGGAGCTGCGGTGGCTCAAGTGGCTAAGATGCTGAACTGCAGGCTGTGGAAGGTTGGTAGTTCAGCAGTTCGAGACCCGAGTGTGCCGCATGATGGAGGGAGGGCTCCCGTCTCTAGTTCCAGCTCCTGCCAACCTAGCAGTTCGAAAGCAAGAAATTGCAAGTAGATAAATAGGCAGCGCTTCGGTGGGAAGGGAACAGCGTTCTGTGTGCCTTGGTGTTTAGTCATGCCGGCCACATGACCACGGAAATGTCTTCGGACAGCGCTGGCTCTTCGGCTTTGAAACGGAGATGAGCACCGCAGCCCTAGAGTCAGATTCGACTGGCTTTCGAGCAAGGGAAACCTTTGCCTTTTTAATGTTGCTGTGTTCGCCATACTTGGATAAATTATTAAGGACTGCGGTCTATCCTATTATGTATACCTTGCTGTAAGTAGGATCCTACTGTGTAATTCTTGCGTCATGTACTGTGTCGTGTTAAGACTTAGGCGTTGCTTCAGTCCTTTTTTTTAGATTTCTGTTTGTATCTACAACCCTAATCTCACCGCACTGTTTATCGAGTGTCCCATCCTGTTGATTATATCGACTCATCCTTTGTAATCCACGTGTGAATTTCAGCGGAAGCCTATATGTAAACAAATGTATTTCCGGAATTTAAAAGGATAAGCATCGTAGTTTCCGCAAGCAAAATTGCAAATATACCTAGTTCTTTTATATAAAAGTTTATTAACTGATTCGACCATAACAAAGCACCAACAACATAACATAACTACATTATATAGACATATACATACACAGACTAAAGCCTAGTTTTGCATTACATATATTAGGAGTAGACCTGAAACAAGATAAGTTCCAGATATTTTGAAGATATTGTACATTCCACAGAGGGGAATGTACAATATCTTCATCTATAAAAGGGTACCACTTTTTCACAAAATTATTTTTACAACCTGGGGTCTCCATCAACAATACTTGTGTAGCTATTTTATCCTGAATAACTCCACACTTTCTGGAGCTCTTCAGAGAGCTGCAAACCTCCACTTACCTTAGCTTGTATATCATAGAATCATAGAATGTCAGAGTTGGAAGGGACCTTGCAAGTCATCTAGTCCAACCCCCTGCACTCTGCAGGAGCATAGCTGAAAGATAGCCCTACAACATACCCGGAAGATGGTCGTCTGGCCTCCGCTTGAAAACGTCCAGCGAAGGAGGACCCACCACCTCCCGAGGCAGTCTGTCCCACTGCTCAACCACTCTTACAGTTAGGAAGTTTCTCCTGATATTTAGCCGGTAATGACTCCCCTGTCATTCCCACCCATTAGATCTAGTCTTGCAATCCGGAGTAAGAGAGACTAGATCTGCTCCATCTTCTACATGACAGCCCTTCAGATACTGAAGGCTGCAATCGTGTCCCCTCTTAAGCCTTCTCTTTCCCAGGCTAAACAGACCCAACTCTTTCAGCCTTTCCTCGTAAGACTTGGATTCCAACCCTCTCACCATCCTGGTTGCCCTCTCCTGAAAAGAGGAGAGTACCAGGACCAGTAGAAAAGAAACCAAAAGTTGAAACGAGAAAACAAAGTCTGCAGTAAGGACTTTTCTCAGTGTTCCCTGAAACCGCCTGTTTTTTCTTCCAGATAGACTGGAGGGGGGATACATACATATAGACGTCTTGTCCCCCCGTCCCGTCCCATCAAGTTTTACAGTTCCCCCTCCCAGGGCCTCACATCTTTAGGGATATATTCACTTGTGAACTGTATCTGCTTCTACGCTAGGCGCAGCCAAACGTGCTGTTGAGGAGGTACGGGGGGGCGGGGCAGTGTTTGCGCCACTCGAACCGCTCACCTGCCTTTTCTGTCTCCCCGTTCTCAGAAACACGGGCTGATGGAGCAGGTGGCCCACCAGACGATTGTGATGCAGTTCATCCTGGAGCTGGCCAAGAGCCTCAAGGTCGATCCCCGCGCTTGTTTCCGGCAGTTCTTCACGAAGATCAAGGTGAGCCCCTTGCCTGGGTTGAGGGAGACGGTCCTCCGTCAAACAGTGGCTGTAGAACCGTCAGGTTGCAGCCGACTTACAACCACAGGGTTTCCAAGGGAAGAGTCGATCAGCGGTGGCTTGCCACCGCCTGCCTCTGCATAGCCTCACCCTAACCCGGGACTTCCTCGGTGGTCTCCCATCCAAGTACTCACCGGGGCCGACCAAGGTTAGCTTCTGGGATCTGAAAAGATCAGCCCAGCCTGGGCCATCCAGGTCAGGGCAAGAGAAAAAGAGGTGGCGTGCCGTTGCCTGCCTCTGCGTAGCGACCCTGGATCTCTTTGGTGGCCTCCCATCCAAGGACTGACCAGGGCTGACCCTGCTTAGCTTCTGAGGTCTGTCGAGATCAGGCTAGCCAGGGACATCCGGGTCAGAGCATAGAGACAAACGGAGGTGGGTTTGCCGTTGCCTGCCTCTGCGTAGCAACCTTGGGACTTCCTTGGTGGTCTCCCATCTGAGTACTAAGCAGCGCCGACCCTGCTTAGCTTCCAAGATCTGATGAGATCAGGCAAGCGTGGCCAATTCAGGTCAAGGCAAGAGACGGACAGAGGTGGTTTGCTACTGCCTGCCTCTGCGTAGCAACCTTGGGACTTCCTTGGTGGTCTCCCATCTGAGTACTAAGCAGCGCCGACCCTGCTTAGCTTCCAAGATCTGATGAGATCAGGCAAGCGTGGCCAATTCAGGTCAAGGCAAGAGACGGACAGAGGTGGTTTGCTACTGCCTGCCTCTGCGTAGCAACCTTGGGACTTCCTTGGTGGTCTCCCATCTGAGTACTAAGCAGGGCCGACCCTGCTTAGCTTCCAAGATCTGATGAGATCAGGCAAGCGTGGCCAATTCAGGTCAAGGCAAGAGACGGACAGAGGTGGTTTGCTACTGCCTGCCTCTGCGTAGCAACCTTGGGACTTCCTTGGTGGTCTCCCATCTGAGTACTAAGCAGGGCCGACCCTGCTTAGCTTCCAAGATCTGATGAGATCAGGCAAGCGTGGCCAATTCAGGTCAAGGCAAGAGACGGACAGAGGTGGTTTGCTACTGCCTGCCTCTGCGTAGCAACCTTGGGACTTCCTTGGTGGTCTCCCATCTGAGTACTAAGCAGGGCCGACCCTGCTTAGCTTCCAAGATCTGATGAGATCAGGCAAGCGTGGCCAATTCAGGTCAAGGCAAGAGACGGACAGAGGTGGTTTGCTACTGAACATTGGCGTCTCTTATGTTCTTATGTTATGTTCTCTTATGCTTAGCTTACGAGATCTGTCAAGATCAGGCTAGCCAGGGACATCCGGGTTAGAGCAAGAAGAGGAAGAGATTGGATTTATACCCCACCCTTCACTACCCGGAGGAGTCTAAGAGTGGCTCACAATCTCCTCCTCCTTCCCCTCCCCACAACAGACACTCTGAGGTGGGTGGGGCCGAGAGAGCTCTCTTGAGGACTGCCCTTGAGACAACAGCTCTGAGAGAACTTGTAACCAGTGTTCCCTCTAAGCTGAGTGAGTGTGAGCTAGTTCACAGTTTCCTAGCCTCCGGCTCACACATTGGCTTCCAGAGCAGACTAATTCATGCAGGAGCCAAATCGCTCACTTGCAGCTTTAATGCCAGTCGCTCACGGAGTAGAATCTTTGCTCGCGAGACTCCGCGGCTTAGAGGGGACATTTCTTGTGACTGGCCCAAGGTCACCCCAGCAGCTGCATCGGGGAGGAGTGGGGAATCAAACCCAGGCTGGCAGGGAGAGGCCTCCTGCAGACCGTAACTCCGGGCGTTGGCTGAACTCCCCTCTCCCCCTCCATTCCCTTCAGACCGCCGACCAGCAGTACATGGAGGGCTTCACCGAGGAGCTGGAGGCCTTCAGGGAGCGGGTGCGGGGCCGAGCCAAGGCCCGCATCGAGAGGGCCATCAAGGAATACGAAGACGAGGAGCAGAAGAAGCGGCTGGGGCCCGGCGGCCTGGACCCCGTGGAAGTGTACGAGTCGCTGCCGCCCGTAAGTTGCCGCCGAGCAGCTGCCCGTCTCGCTTCATCCAGAACACGTTCGTTTCTTGTATTTCCCTCAACAGCCTGCCTTTCGCACTGAGGCTCCAGGTAGATCGTACAGTGTGAGACCTTGCAGTCCAGGAGCACGAGACCTCCAATAAAACAGTGCTGTTTGGCTGGTGGGGGGTGGCGGCGGCGGCCATCAAGTTGCAGCCATTCTGCGGTGACCCCATCGGGTTTTCACGGCAAGAGACAAACAGATGCGGTTTGCCATTGCCAACCTCTGCGTAGCAACCCCAGACTTTCTTGGCGGTCTTCCAACCAAGGACTAACCGGAGCCAACCCAGTTTGGCGACCAAGATCTGATGACATCGGGCTAGCCGGTGCCGTTCAGGTCAAGGCAAGAGGCGTTCAGAGGTGTTCATGCCCTTGCCTGCCTCTGCGTAGCAACCTTAGCAACCCCTGGATTTTCTTGGCGGTCTTCCATTCAAGGACTAACCGGGGCCAACCCCGTTTGGCGACCAAGATCTGATGAGATTGGGCTAGGCCGGGCCATCCTGGTGAAGGCAAGAGGCGTTCAGAGGTGTTAATGCCCTTGCCTGCCTCTCCGTAACAACCCTGGACTTCCTTGGTGGTCTCCCATCCAAGTACTAACCAGGGCCGACCCTGCTTAGCTTCCAAGATCTGACGAGATCGGGCTAGCCTAGGCCATCCAGGTGCAGAAAGAGACTCATCGCAATAAACGAAACTGGAACCGAAGTGCTTGCACAGACACCAGCGCAGTGGACGCATTTGCAACCTCCTGGCAGTGCTCTTGGAATAACTCCGGAGCTCCATGCCTCCGTCGAAACCGAGTAGCGGGTACCGCCGCTGGGGACAGGTTGCTTGTCCTTGCTGGATCACCTCCCCTGCTGACGACAACCATCTCTTTCTCCCCCCAGGAACTCCAGAAGTGCTTCGACGTGAAAGATGTGCAGATGCTTCAGGACAGTATTAGCAAAATGGATCCCGCCGTGAGTCTCCTTGGCCCTGTCTTCTCACTCACTTTGGGACATTCTGCTAGGCGTCGCCTGTGCCCGTAATGGCGCATGGCATTTCTCTGGCCTGCAGACAATTCGCAGGCGCGTCTGTCCTTACTGAGGTCCAGGGGGCCTTTAAATAAGTCAGGGCCCCCCCGCACACCCTCCCCCCCAAGGGAGCGCCTAGGCTGGATGGGAAGTTGAGGGGGCCTTGGTGGTAAGTCAGGGGGCCAGGCCCCGAGATGCCCCGCTGTAAGTACAGGTCTGGTCCCTGAGCCTTTTGAGCCTGCAGGCGCCTTGGGAGTTTAGACAGAGTGTGGCGGGCACAGCCGCAAAACGGCTGCCTCAAAACAACTGCCGTAGGAGGTAAAGCCAGCCGCAAACCGGCCGCCGCGGGTGACCTTCAGTCCCACAGCAAAGATCCTTTTGCTGTGGCGGCAGCCGGCAAAGCAGTGTTTTTCTTCAGGTCTGTAAAACCAAACAAAGGTTAGTGAAAAGGAGGGCCAATATTAAAACCTTCCCATAAAAAAAGGTACATGTATTTATTGATAATAACAAATTTTAAAACATATATAGGGGCCCAATTACAACCAATGTATATAAAACATAACAATATCAAGGGCTTAAAAAGTTGACCTTACGCGTTTCGGCCAACTAGGCCTTCCTCAGAGGTCATACCTATGTGGCAAGATGGTCAATAATTATATTCACAGAAACACAATCAGAAATGTATACAAAGTATAGATTCAATAAGGACCATAAAGTAAATTGTTCAGAAGTAAAATCACCAGGCACAGGATAAATATGCACATAAGACCTTTAAAGTGCAATCACTAGCCCAGTGATTATAAAATAAACTTATGGTCCAAAAATTTCCTTCTTTAATTGTGTTCCCACAGTATTCACAAGTAAAAAGAGCATTGCTGGGCAGAAAACCCCACCTGGCCATGCCCACTTTCTAAGAGTACTTGGGTGCCAGGAAAGGTGTTGGTGGGTGCCCGGGTGCCCACGGGCACCGCATTGGGGACCCCTGAGTCTGCTCTATGGCGGTAGACAGGGAAGGTGTCAGAGAGCACTACGGGCACAGCTGGAATTCACTGCCGCAGGAGGTGGTGGCAGCTGCAAGCATGGATGTCTTCAAGAGGGGATTGGATAAACATCTGGAGCAGTGGTCCATCAGTGGTATAGATAGGAGCTTGGGGGGGGCAACAGTGGGAGGGCTTCTAGTGCCATCTGGCCCCACTGGTGGACCTCCTGGTGGCCCCTGGTATTTTTGGCCATTGTGTGACAGAAAGTGTCAGACTGGATGGGCCATTGGCCGGATCCAACATTGGCTTCTCTTATGGCTTCAAGAGGGGATTGGATAAACATCTGGAGCAGAGGTCCATCAGTGGCTTTTCGCCACAAGGTATAGATAGGATCTTTCAGTCTGGGGCAAGGGATGCTCTTTCTTCTTGGTGCTTGTGGGGGGGGCAACAGCGGGAGGGCTTCTAGTGTCCTGGCCCACTGCTGGACCTCCTGATGGCACCTGGTGTTTTTGGCCACTGTGTGACAGAGTGTTGGACTGGATGGGCCATTGGCCTGAACCAACACTGGCTTCTCTTATGTTCTTGTGTTGGGGACCCCTGCTCAGTGCGATCTAACCCTTTGGTTAGATTACTCTCGAACCCGTCTGAAACGTATTCCAATTCAGGCTTTCCCGAAGTGCGTTCGTTTCTGAAAGAAGCCTGTTCTCTGTGTCCTGTTCCAGGAAGCGAAACATCACATGCAGCGCTGCATCGACTCGGGCCTCTGGGTGCCAAACGCCCGTGGGGCAGAAGGTGCCGAGAAAGGGGAGAAGTTGGAAGGGGCCTACGAAGAACTAAAGAAGGAGGGCAGCGAGGGAGACAAAGGCAGCCCCTGAACGAGCGGCTGGCGGTCTATAAAGCGGCCGGCCCCCTTCAGCCTCTTGTCAACCTCGTGTTGTTGGGTTTTTTTTTCTTTCTTTCGCTCCAAAACCCTTTGGCGATTACGTGCTTGACCAATGTAGACACTTCATGATTTGTGTGAGCTGCTTTCCTGACTGGCTCTCTCGCTCACCACATCACAACATCCCACCACCACCACCTCCAGCCCTCCGACGTTGTTGGGAAGCCCGTGGACGGCCCGGTTTTCATCTGGAGGGGTCACATGGCACAGTGCGGGCTCCCTGGGGGCTTGGCACGGCACCTCTGCCTTCTCTGTCTCGCTGTGGAGACGCCAGTCAGTTGTCATAGCTACCAACGCGCTGTTATTATCTTTTTGTTTGATGACCAGGTCAGGCTGTTGAGCAAATAAAAAGATTGAAATAGCCGAAGAGCAGCATGGGCGCCATTTTGTCTCGTAAAGGATCACCAATCATTTTGCTTCATTCCAACACGAACGATGGGGCGGGTCTGGATGTTGGGGGCGGAGCACACACTTCGCAAGAGTTTCTTATTTGATCCCTTCTGCATGCCAAGCAGAGGCTCTGCTACTGAGACCCTGGCTCAGTGGCAGAGCCTCTGCTTGGCATGCAGAAGGTCCCAGGTTCAATCCCTGGCATATCCAATTAAAAGGACCAGGCAGTAGGGTGAAGAGATAGACCTTGACCTGAGACCCTGGCTCAGTGGCAGAGCCTCTGCTTGGCATGCAGAAGGTCCCAGGTTCAGTCCCCGGCATCTCCAGTTAAAAGGACCAGGCAGGAGGTGATGGGAAAGACCTTGACCCGAGACCCTGGCTCAGTGGCAGAGCCTCTGCTTGGCATGCAGGAGGTCAAAGGTTCAATCCCCGGCATCTACAGTTAAAAGGACCAGGCAGGAGGTGAGGGGAAAGACCTCCGCCTGAGACCCTGGAGAGCTGCTGCCAGTCTGAGTAGGCAATATTGACCTCGATGGACTGATTCAGTTTAAGGCAGCTCCCTGTGTTCCTGGCTTGTGCAGTAAAGGGGTCTCAGATCGCAGGCCAGGAAGAAAGAGCTGAACCAAAGTTTGGACTCTGCATTTCTCGAGTCCTGCTTCGATCAGCGGAGGCTTGGTAGCCACATCAGCCATGTCCACTGTTAGCCCTGCACAACATGGGAGAATCCAGGAGGTCTGATTTGTGTCTCGTACAGCACCTTCTGTCCAAGCCGGGGTGTGTGTGTGTCTGTAACAGTCATAGCCAGCGTATTGTCGTGGTTAGAGCAGCGGTGCCTGGTGCATTGCCGGTGGGTGCCGTGGTGCTCGTTGCCACCTCTCCTGGGGGCCATCAAGCGCCATTATTTTTTATTAAACTTGCTAATCGTCCAGTCTCTCCTACTGCAGGGCTCTGGGCGATGTACAATCATCATAAAGACATCAGAGCGCAGGAGAAGATATAAAACAATACCAGTACAGCAAATCTAAAGGAAACAGACGGTGAATGTCATAGTTCCTTCTCGAATCCGTCTACCTAGTGGGTGGGGTGGCCGGAGCAAGGCAGTGCGGAGAGCAAAGGAGGGTGCCGGCCAGAATGAGAACTGTAGCTGCCCTCGACCAAAAGCCTGGCAGGACACCTCTGCCTTGCAGGGCCCGGTGGTGTTTGGCAGAGAGTTCCACCAGGTCGGGGCCGCGACCGAAAAGACCCTGGCCCTGGTCGAGGACAGCCGGATGTCTTTGGGACCTTCTGCGTGTTCCGCCCACTTTAGTGAGTGGGTGGGGCTTCTGTCCTGAAGTGCTTCTGATTGGCTCTGTAGATTAAAAGGACATCCTGTTAAACAGCTTCTGCCTGAAATGTCAAAGAGGCATTATAGAGTTACTAGGACTAAGGCCCAGAAATACAACTAGCCCTAGAAGGAAGCTCCAGGTGAGAGTCCCGGCTGTGGCTGGTGGGGCGGCAGAGGGAAGGGGAAAATGGAGGGAGGCGAGCCATGTTTATTTCCTTCTGCTTAGCTATAAGGCAGGGCTGTCTCAAGTCATTTTGCTGCCCCAAGTGGGTAGTATGGGAGGACAGCGGGCTCTTTTTGTAGCAGGAACTCCTTTGCATAGTAGGCGACACACCCCTAACGTAGCCAATTCTCCAAGAGCTTACAGAGCTCTTTTTATAGGGGCTACTGTAAGCTCTTGGAGGATTGGCTACATTAGGGATGTGCCGCCTAATATGCAAAGGAGTTCCTGCTACAAAAAGAGCCCTAGCAACAGGTATGGTTCCCTTCACCTATGACTTCTGTTGATTTGGGGTTATGCAGGGGCAGCTAAGGTAGAAAAGCACCTCCTCCTGTTGCCAACTCTGGGTTGGGAAATATGTGGAGATTTTGGGGGGTGGAGCCTGGGGAGGGCGGGGTTTGGGGTGGGGAGGGACTTCAGCAGGGTATAATGCCATAGAGTCCACTGCCCAATGTAGCCATTGTCTCCAGGAGAACTCTTAGTCATCTGTAGAGAGGCAAAGGCCAATCAGGCCGCATATGCAAACGACCTCTGTGTTCCGACTGGCTATGCGGGGGAGAGGAACAGCAAACTCTTTAGAATGTTGGAGGTGGGACTCAGGCAACGCAGCCAGTGGATAGGGACAGCTTCTGAGTGACACATCATGGAGCCAACTGATTTGAGGAGCGTGTGGAATGTTCAGAAAGTGCCATCCCACTACTCAATTATATATAAGGAGAGATATGTAACCTCGTTCCCTGACATTACATGGTTGCGCCCACCACCCCGTGACAGAATTCCATAGGATCTCTCAAAGTCAAAAAAAGAGTTGGGGACCCCTGGGTTAGAGTGTCAGGCTAGGATCTGGGAGACCCGAGTTTGAATCCCCATGTTTGCCATAGAAGGTTGCTGGGTGACCTTGGGCTGGTTACACTCTGCCTGACCTACCTCACAGGGTTGTGTGGATAGAAGAGAGGAGAAAGAAGCCACTGGGGACAAAACGGGTGATCCTGAGCCAGTTACACTCTCAGCCTAGCCTCCCTCACAGGGTTGTTGTGAGGATAAAGTGGAGGAGAAGGATGTAAGCTGCTGGGTTCCCACTGAGGAGAAAGGGATGTGAATGAAGTAAATCGATAAATAGAATTCTGTCTTGCCTGGAACTCCTTGTGACCAGGCGGACTTACTCCTGATGTGGCCTGTAGGTCAAGGCTCAAAAGAGAACGTTTGAAAGAACTTTGAAAGAGTGACTGAGGCTCGCTGATGAATTCTTCATGGTGAAAGCCCCGTGACGTGGGCAGGAAATGTCCCCTCCCTCCCTCCCGTCCGGTTACTGCTGTTCCGTTTGCCACAGTGGTACGGCCCCCTCCTCCCCAAATGCGTCCTAGTCCTCTCAGGTGCTGCTAGATTCAAGTCCGGAGTTCCCTTTGTCAGAGAGCCACCAGAACGACTTTAATGCCAGTCAGTGTTCCCTCTAAGCTGAGTTGGTGTGAGCCAGCTCACCGTTTTTTTTAGCCTCCAGCTCGCACATTTTTTTGCCTGAGCTCAGGAAGGATGGTCCCAGGGCAAACGGATTAATGCAGCAGCCAAATCGATCGCTCGCTCACGACTTTAATGCCAGCCAGTGTTCCCTCTAAGCTGAGTTGGTGTGAGTCAGCTCACAGTTTTTTTAGCCTCCGGCTGTCACATTTTTTTGCCTGAGCTCCGGAAGGATGGCCCCAGGGCAAACGGATTCATGCAGCAGCCAAATCGCTCGCTCACGACTTTAATGCCAGCCAGTGTTCCCTCTAAGCTGAGTTGGTGTGAGTCAGCTCACAGTTTTTTTAGCCTCCGGCTGTCACATTTTTTTGCCTGAGCTCCGGAAGGATGGCCCCAGGGCAAACGGATTCATGCAGCAGCCAAATCGCTCGCTCACGACTTTAATGCCAGCCAGTGTTCCCTCTAAGCTGAGTTGGTGTGAGTCAGCTCACAGTTTTTTTAGCCTCCGGCTGTCACATTTTTTTGCCTGAGCTCCGGAAGGATGGCCCCAGGGCAAACGGATTCATGCAGCAGCCAAATCGCTCGCTCACGACTTTAATGCCAGCCAGTGTTCCCTCTAAGCTGAGTTGGTGTGAGTCAGCTCACAGTTTTTTTAGCCTCCGGCTGTCACATTTTTTTGCCTGAGCTCCGGAAGGATGGCCCCAGGGCAAACGGATTCATGCAGCAGCCAAATCGCTCGCTCACGACTTTAATGCCAGCCAGTGTTCCCTCTAAGCTGAGTTGGTGTGAGTCAGCTCACAGTTTTTTTAGCCTCCGGCTGTCACATTTTTTTGCCTGAGCTCCGGAAGGATGGCCCCAGGGCAAACGGATTCATGCAGCAGCCAAATCGCTCGCTCACAACTTTAATGCCAGCTAGTGTTCCCTCTAAGCTGAGTTGGTGTGAGCTAGCTCACTGTTTTTTAGCATCCGGCTCGCACATTTTTTTGCCTGAGCTCTGGAAGGATGGCCCCAGGCCAAACGGATTTATGCCGCAGCCAAATCGCTGGCTCACAACTTTAATGCCAGGAGCTCACAAAGTAGATTTTTTATTTATTTATTAAATTTTTACCCCGCCCTCCCAGCCAAAGCCGGCTCGGGGCGGCTTACATTCTATCAAATACATCATCTACAATAAAACATCAATCGTTTAAATTAAAACAATACAAAAATCATTTCAACTATACGACGATACGACGTTTCCTCGCAAGACTCCACAGCTTAGAGGGAGCATTGCTTTTGAGCCTCCTTCCCTCTTCTGTAATCATGCCTGCGGGCTTCCCTGCCAAACACTTGCTCTCTTGAGTACGTTCCCAGTGTTCTTCAAAAGGTTCCCACGCAAAATGCTCTCCGTCATAATGTCAGCGCCGCTTCCCCACCCACAGGTATTGTGTAGCTAGAGACTGGGGTGGGTGGGGGGGGAGACAGCCCCGTAGCTAGGGATTTGGGGGGGAGGGGGCCTGGGGGGTCTCAGCTAATTAAATCAAAGTTAATCACATTAATTCAATTTGGGACTGGCCCGGGAAAGAGGGGGCCCACCAGAAATGTTAGGGGGCCAGGCCCCACAGGCCCCGTGTTATCTACGGGCCTGGGGGGAGATGTGACAAATGAGAAGAGAATGAAGAGAAACGACGGGGATGACTGACGATAAAAAAAGCTCTTTTGTGTGCTTTATCGTGGATGGCAGGTTCCTCCGGGAGAGGTAGCAAGAATAACAGAGACCAGAAGAATGCACGTTAAATGTTTATTTAGGCTAGAAAGCTCAGTCATGCTCTGGCAGAGAACTCAACTGGCCTTCTTCCAATGCATCTGTTGGAGCTGGTGGCGGGGGGAAAACTAAGCCTGGCGACTGGGAACAGAACAGCCCTGGATCACATCTTGCTTCTCTCTGGCCTTGAGACCTGGGAGAGAACTCCGGGGCGTTG